ACAACAGTTTTCTCCACTTATGAAGAAAGAATTTTAATAGACACAAGAGGGAGAGGTGAATGAGTAGACAAAGGAATGGATGGGCAGAGGACTGGAGGAGTGAAGGAATGAGTGGAAATGTGGGAGGGGAGCACAGTACTGCTCAGGGAAGAAGGCGTGAGCTGAGGGGTGAGGTGAGTCCAGGCCTTGGAAGGATGAGAGGGAATTCCTGTAGGAGGAGTAATGTGAACTGATGATTTTAGGGGCAATAGGACACCTACTCTAAATCTCCCTCTCATATACTAGAAACCCTTTAACTTTGTATCTTTTTTTTTTTTTTTAGACAGAGTCCCACTCTGTTGCCCGGGCTAGAGTGCTATGGCATCAGCCTAGGTCACAGCAACCTCAAACTTCTGGGCTCAAGCAATCCTTCTGCCTCAGCCCTCCCAAGTAGCTGGGACTACAGGCATGTGCCACCATGCCCGGCTAATTTTTTCTATATATTTTTAGTTGGCCAATTAATTTCTTTCTATTTTTAGTAGAGAGGGGGTCTTACTCTTGTTCAGGCTGGTTTTGAACTCCTGACCTTGAGCCATCCTCCCGCCTCGGCCTCCCAGAGTGCTAGGATTACAGGCGTGAGCCACCACATACAGCCAGTGTGTATCTTTTAACTGAGAAGGAAAAGGTCTCAGAAATAATATTGTCAGACTTCCATTTCACAGATGAGGAAACTGCAGCTCACAAAGGGTGAGTGAGTGGTTTGCTACATCCTAACAATTAGGTCTGGAACTGAACTGAGACTAGAACTCAGGTCTCCTAATTCCTAATCCCTTGCTCTTTTCACCACCCAAAACTGACTGTAGAAGGAATGACTAAGGTGCAGAATTTCCAAACCCTAAATTGAGGAAAGCCCCCAAGGGGACTTCCTCACACAAGGTAGAGGTGCTAAAAAGGCAAATGCCTAGGAATGTTCCAGCCTCAATGCTCTGCATTGCTTCTCCTCTCCCATCCCTGAAAATGGAAACAATGGGCAAGAAGCCAATGGGCTTCCTGGGACTATCTCAAAAAAAGGGGGCAGAATCCAGACTACAACCACAGAATCCTGTAAAATTCTGAAACTTTTGTCACTTCCTTTATAAGCCTGTCTGTGGAACTCTTTAAAACCATGTCTGTGTGCTGGCCTGCAGAGACAGCCAGGAAGGGAGGAGGAAGGACTATGTCTCACTTCATGGTCAAGCTCTGAGAGACAGAAATCCGGTGAGGGACAGAGGTGGGGCTAGTGCCTGAAGTCTGCTGCACAGAGGGTGGGACAGCTCAGAGCGGGTCTGAGTCATCACCATTTTCTATGTGTTTCTTCCTAACAAGTGAAATAATGACTAAAGTGTCAGCATGGTGCCTGGCAGTTAATGGAAAATCACCACCAACTCCCCCCAATCCTCCCCCCTTAGCTCTCAGCTGAGATGAGCAGAAACCTCTATTGCGAGGGAGAAGACAGCATGGAGGGGAAATGCTGGAGCCTGGACATTTGGGGAAAGGAAGGGAAGGAATTGTTTCCCAAGCATCTAATTAGTGCCAGAAATTGTGCTGGGCAGTTGACTGATTACTTCATTTAATCCTCTGAAGTATCCTAGGAGTTAGGTATTCTTTCTTTTTTTGAGACAGAGTCTCGCTTTCTTGCCTAGGTTAGAGTGAGTGCCATGGCATCAGCCTAGCTCACAGCAACCTCAAACTCCTGGGCTTAAGCAATCCTACTGCCTCAGCCTCCCAAGTTGCTGGGACTACAGGCACGAGCCACCATGCCCGGCTAATTTATATATATATATATTAGTTGGCCAATTAATTTCTTTCTATTTTTTATAGTAGAGACGGGGTCTCGCTCAGGCTGGTTTTGAACTCCTGACCTTGAGCAATCCGCCCGCCTCGGCCTCCCAGAGTGCTAGGATTACAAGCGTGAGCCACCGAGCCGGCCTAGGTATTTTGTTTGTTTGTTTGTTTGTTTGTTTGTTTGTTTGAGACAGAGTCTCACTCTGTTACCCAGGCTAGAGTGCCGTGGTGTCAGCCTAGCTCACAGCAACCTCAAACTCCTGGGCTCAAACGATCCTCCTGCCTCAGCCTCCCAAGTAGTTGGAAATACAGGCATGCACCACCATGCCCGGCTAATTTTTTCTGTATATTTTTAGTTGGCCAATTAATTTCTTTCTATTTTTTAGTAGAGACAGGGTGTCGCTCAAGACAGGCTGGTCTTGAACTCCTGACCTTGAGTGATCTGCCCACCTCGGCCTCCTAGGATTACAGGCGTGAGCCACCACGACTGGCCAAGTTAGGTATTCTTAGCCCCATTTCCAGAAAGAAAACCAAGGTGTAGAATTGTTAATAGTTTGTTCACAGACACGCAGAGGGGTATGTGCTGTCTGATTTCAACCCCAAGGCTGTCCTGCTTCCCCAGGCTTTCTCCCTGGGGCTGGGGACAAAGGCTGGTACGAGCCAGCAGTGAGCACTGCTGAGGAGCAGAGGATGGGGAATTTCATGAAAGGGAATGCACAGAGAGAGGGGAAGGAGGAGAAGCCCCCAACAAACATGCAGAGAAAAACAAAAAAGAAAACAGATTCCAAAGTATCAGGAGGAGTAGAGCCTGAAGTCTTCTGTCACCCAGCAATTTTGGAGGAACCGATGCTTTTCTGTGGCCTCATTTCCACGGCCACCCCTCCCCCAGGGTAACTTGTGGTGGGCCCCTCCAGGAACCTGAGGCCAGTGAGCCCCGTTCTGGTCACCGAACGGGCCACGTGTGGTCTCCAGCTGTAATAAACAAGTGAGTGTGCACAGCCTCTGTCCCCTGTGGTGAAGGCGAGAAGAGTGGGGGGAGGCTGAGCCGCACCCCTCCGACTGAATGCCGTCCCAACTGTGAGAGCAGTTGTCACAGTCAGTACCCCTGACATCATGCAATGTGTGTTAGGTGACAGGGAGAGAAAGGAAGGGAAGGGAAGGAGGGAAGGGGGCAGACTAGAATAACATAGAAAGAGCAAACCAGAGCTGGACCAAAAGGCAAAAGCAGGATGTCATGGAATGAGTCCTGGATGGGGTTCGAATCCTGTCTCCACCTGGGCGAGTGCCCTGGGAGGCCTCAGCCAATCACCCTGCTGCCTGGGCAGATCCTCCAGCCAGCACCAAAGGAGCACCTGCCCCAGGCAGGGTCCTGCAGAAACAAAGAGTGAGCCAACAGCTCAGCTTGAAATATTTAGACTAGTAAACAAGGGCAGAGGAGGGAAACAACCAGGAAACAAAAGCAATTCTCCAATTTGCAGATGCAGAAAAGTAAAGCCTACCAGGGGGAAATTACTCGACCTCAGATTTCTCTTGGGGGCTCAGATTCCTACAGGATGGATGGACTTTTACTGCTTTAGGCATTTTTTAAGAGCAGCCAGAACCGCCAAAGCTGCTCCCCACATAGTGCTTTGGGGAACTCCGTGTGGGGGGAACTCCGTGTCCCATCGAAGCTTTGGAATCCAGGGAAATGCAGTTTCACTTTCTCTGCCTGTGTGTGGTTTCCTAACGTCACACTTTCAGACTTGGCTGGCAGCAGCCTAGCTTGGGAAAAGAGTGAATAAAAGAGAAAGAACCAGGACTGGGCCAGGAAGGGAGGGGAGGAGAGGGACAGCGCTAGGCTGGAGGGGATGTGTGCCTGGTTTTAGTAATTACGCTAGGAAATAGGGCCAGAGGTATGAGGGTCGATAAGAACCAGACCTGTGGACTTGAAAGGCCCATCAATCCGTCTGCAGGGTCTGTGAAGCCCTTGCCTTCTCTGAGCAACTTGCTCAAGGTTATCATTAATAAATAGTAGCAGGCCAAACACAGAAAGAAAAATACCGCATGATCTCACTTACATGTGCAATCTAAAAAATAGTCAAATACATGGAAGTAAAGAGTGGAACTGTGGGTTATCAGTGGTGGAGATGTGGGGAAATGGGAAGATATTGGTCAAGGGCACGAAGTTGCAGGCTCTGATGTTCGGCAAGATACGTGCCAAGACCTCCAGTGGGTGCCTGAAACTGCAGATAGTACTGAACCCTATATATACTATGTTTTTTTCTATGCATACATGTCTATGATAAAGTTGAAGTTATAAATTGGGCACAGTAAGAGATTAACAACAATAATAACAAAATAGAACAATTATAAAAATGGACTGTAAGAAAAGTTATGTATTTGTTTCTGGAATTTTCCATGTAATATTTTCTGAGCGTGGTTGACCAAGGGTAACTGAAACTACAGAAAGTGAAATCACAGATGGGGGGGGACACCGTATGGTTAATAATACTGTATTGTGTATTAGAAATTTGCCAAGAGAAGAAATTTCCAGGTGCTCTCACCGCACACAAGTGAAAAAGTGGTAACTATGTGAGGAGACAGATATATTAATTTGTTTGACTGTAATAATCATTTCACTATGTACATGTATAGCAAAATATCATGTTATATACCTTAAATATACACAACTTTTATCATAAGTAAATACATAATAAGTAATAGAGCTGGATTTTGAACCTAGACACCAGACTCTAGGGAGCCCACATACTTAATCTAGATGCTACAAGAAGTTATCAAGCCTAAACCAGCAATGATTTAGCATTATGCCCAGAACATTTGTTGGAAAGCAGGGGGAGAATACAAAAAACAAGTAGAAAAGAAAAAGCACAGGACATTGTCACTGTGTTCATGACGTTAAGACAGGACCAGTGAAATGATGATTCACAAAAAAGGGGTATAAATGTGCTTGTTTATTGTCTCTGTCTCTCTTCTCCCCTCGCCACCCCCAACCCACGCCACACCCAAACAATCTCCAGAGGGAAGGACTTGGCCTGCCTTTCTTGCCCTGGCGTCTGCAGTGCCTAGAACAGTGCCTGGCTCACAGCAATTCTCAGTAACCATTTGAAGAATGAATACGGAACTATTGAGCAGTGGTGGGCCACGCACACTGAAGGGACAGGGAGGGCAGAGACGGCCCCGTGATGTTTGCGCCTCACCTTACAGTCTCCCAAGCCCATCCACGGTCACGACTCCCCTGGATCCTCGCCCCAGTGCAGTGGATCAGACAGGCAGCAGTTCCTAGTTTTCAGGAACATAAAGAGCTGAGTGAGTAATAATGATAGCTGTCATTCACTGAACACCCTGTACCAGGAACCATACTGTTTACACAGGCTCCCCAATTTGCTCATGGAATCAGCACATTAGAGCCAGAGCATAACTTACAGAGAGCCCATCATGCCTGAACACTGATTTAGCACAGGAGGAGGTGAGTGGAAGAAATGAGAGAAAAATTATATTCTTCTCCCTCTTCTGCTCCCCACAATCCATTGAAACCACCAAAAGGAAGAAAAACACCCCTGACATTCCCATTGCTAGTCTTGCTCAGCACCCCCCCATCCTACCCACCCATCATCCCCTTGTCCTCACTGCTACGTACACACACACACAGCAGAAAGGTTCACCATGGTTTAAAGACGAGGAACATGCTGGCCTTGTCTGCGGGTTTCCTCACCTCTGTCCTCAGTTAGTGTCCCAACTCAGCATATCTGGTATCCAGGAAATACTTTCCTTTCTTCCTTAAAGAGGGAAACTGAAATCAAGGAAAGAAAATGGAAATAGAGCTCATAAGGAAAAACTGGGCCTTGCCAAGAGTTTCAGGATTTCTGTAGACATTTGGCAGAAAGTTCATGAACTCAGATAGACATGGGTTCAGTGTTGAATTCTACCACCGTAGGCTGGGACCTTAAGCTAGTCACTTTACCTGTCTAAGCCTCCATGGCCCCATCTGTTAAAAGAAAGACCTTATGTAATAAATAAATAAAGATTTGTTGTATTAAAGTTCACTAACACATATTAACTGGGGGTCTAGTTTAGATTGCTGAAAAGCATAAAGTATAAAATATCCTTATAGGGATTGCCATCTTCATACTCTTCATGATAACATGATAGGCTGGGCCTGTGGCTCACACTCGTAATCCCAGCACTTTGGGAAGCCAACACAGGAGGCTCACTGGAGGCCAGGAGTTTGAGACCAGCCTGGATAACATAGTAAGACCCAGTCTCTACAAAAAATAAGAAAAATTAGCCCAGCATGGTGGCACATACCTATAGTGCCAGCTACTCAGGAGGCTGAGGCAGGATGATCACTTGAACCCAGGAGTACAAGGCTACAGTGAGGTATAATTGTGCCACTGCACTCCAGTCTGGGTGACAGAGCAAGACTCTGTCTCTAAAAAGAAAAAAAGATAACATGATAATAATAGCTAATGTTATTAAGTACTTAACATGTGTCAGGTATTATAATGATGAGAAAACTGAGACCAGAGAGATTGAATAACTTGCCCAAGGCTACCTGGCTAATAAATAGGAGAAACTGCTAGGTCCCTGCTCTTAACCACCACCTTTTCCACAGCCTCCCACATGTTGGTCATTTAAGTTAGACCAAAGGGGGCTGAGTGAAGGAAACCATTAAAATAGGCAGAACATTTTTCCATAGATGGGTGCATGTTTCTGAAGTGCCTGCAATGTGTTTCTTTAAATGAGACAGACATGCTTTCCAAAATTATGTTTTCATTGTTAATTGATTAATGAGCTGTAAGGAGGGAATGAGAGGACTGTTGTCCAGAGCTTAGAACAGCACCTGGCACCTAGAAGAGCCGTGATAACTGTTACCTGCCTTACTGATTGAGTCCCTGAGAAGAGCCTGGGCATGCTTTTCAGCAGCACCTGGAGCTCAAATCCCACTCACCAGCTGTGTGATCTTGAGGGTGTTCATTACCCCTTATGAGGCTCAGCTTTCTCTCCCATAAAGTGAGCATTACAGCCACTTTGCCTCAAAGTCATCGTGAGGAAGAAATGTGACAAGGTCTTCCCATTCTGGGTGACTTAGTCACCCTCAGCCACCAACTTACATATGTGACAATTGGTAACAGAAAATGTTCTCAGTATAGAGTTACAATTTTTTTTAAGTTTGTTTGCTTTTGTCACTGTCAATAAACACTTTTCTCCTAGATAATTCGGAAGCCAATGTCAGCCTAGCCCAGGCCAAATTGTCACTAATTCTGAACTACCCAAACAGGAATTGATGAAGATTGACTGCATGAATTCTTTGGAATGGAGGAAGGACCCTGGCTCTAATGCAGGAGGAGTTCCACGTGGGTTCAGTTTCAAGGATGTCCCCAACCATGAACCCTTTCATATTGGAAAGTATTTTGTGGACCGAGCACTGAAGTGGGAGCCAGGGCAATTGGATTATGATCCAAACACTGTCATCTGCTGTGTGTTCTTAGCAAGTCACTCTTACTCACCAGGCCTTGGTTTCCTCCTCTGCAACTGAAGAACATGGAAAAAATGATCCTTAAAGTCCTCTGAAGCTTCCATATTCTGTAACTTTTGTGCCCAAGTAGACCTCAGAAATGAGATGGGATCCCAGCATTTACTGAGTTTCCTCATCCATAAAGAGGGGATAATAATAGTAAATGAGGTGACACACGCAAAGCCCGTAGAATAGTGGCTGACACAGATAAGCTCTAGTAAATGGTAGCTAATAATGGTAGTTTATGCTGCAAGAGATCTCTACTCCACACACACACTTCTAAACAAGGCTTTAACCAAATATCCTGCTTTATAAACAAGGAAATAGAACTCAAAGATATTAAAGACACCAAGCAGGGACTGCTGTGTCGGTCAGTGGCCACAGCAGGTAGGTAGGGAGGTAGGGAGGGAGGTGGGTGGGTGGGCAGGTAGGTGGGTGGGTAGGAAGGTAGGAAGGTAGGTAGGTAGGTGGGCCTGCTCCTGGGATCTTACCTCTCTCCTGTTCCACCCTGGGCCACGATGCCGCAGTACCAGACCTGGGAGGAGTTCAGCAGTGCAGCCGAGAAGCTCTACCTTGCCGAACCTGTGAAGGCACACGTGCTTCTCAAATATAGGCATTCGGATGGGAGTGTATGTATTAAAGTAACAGATGATTTAGTTTGTTTGATGTATAGAATGGACCAAGCTGAAGATGTAAAGAAGATTGAGAAATTCCATGGTCAACTAATGTGATTTATGATAGCCAAGGAATCCTGCAGTGTTGCCATGGAAGCAGACCAAACGGTTTGAAATGAGGATTCTCTTTGTCATGTTGTTAGGAAGTAAATATCTTTTGAATTTGAGAAAATGTTGACACAGAAAATATGTAACTAAGTGGAACATTCAAAATCCAAGAGAGGCCTGGCGCAATGGCTCATGCCTATAATCCTAGCACTCTGGGGGCTGAAGCAGGAGGATGGTTCAAGGTCAGGAGTTCAAAACCAGCCTGAACAAGAGCAAGAGGCTTTCTCTACTAAAAATAGAAAGAAATTAATTGGCCAACTAAAAATATGTAGAAAAAATTAGCCGGGCATGGTGGTGCATGTCTATAGTCCCAGCTACCATGTTTCCCCAAAAATAAGACAGGGTCTTATATTTATTTTTCCTCAAGAAGACGCCCTAGGGCTTATTTTCAGGGGATGTGTTATTTTTTTTTTTAAGTACAGTACAATCTACATTTATTCAAATATGGTTAAGTCGTCTTCTTCTGGAACATCATCATAACTCTCCAAACCCTGAATTCCATCCTGAATTTCTTGTGACTCTATTTCTTTTAGAACAATTGGCCCTAATCTCTCATGTCGAGCAATAGAGCTCTCATGGGGCGGATGAGAAGGGCTGCTCATCTTCTTTACCGCTTGGCGACAAAATGCGTGGGTTGTGCAGATACGCTGCATAGCCTCATCCATCACTAGGTCTTATTTTTGGGGTAGGGCTTATATTGCACAAATGCTTAGAAATCCTGCTAGGGCTTATTTTATGGGTAGGACTTATTTTCAGGGAAACATGGTACTTGAGAGGCTGAGGCAGGAAGATCACTTGAGCCCAGGAGTTTGAGGTTGCTGTGAGCCAGGCTGATGCCACGGCACTCTAGCCTGGGCAACAGAGTGAGATTCTGTCTCAAAAAAAAAAAAAAAAAAGCCAGAGATAATTTTTTGTATTTTCTTTTTAATGTTTACTTTAGAGAGCTAGGAATGTAAATGCTTTCAGTAAGAAAGCCTTTATTTTTGGAAATAAAGAATTGCATCTATCTTGGAAACTTTTGAGGATTATTTGATGTTGGATAAAATATATAATTTTCTGATAAATTTGTATCAGTAATTTGAAAATGAGATATCAAGAAAAGCCAGTTCTTCCATCAATTTAGGTGATCTGTCTTTAAAAGAAAATGAAATGTAATCATTTTTAATAGATCAATATATTGATCAATATGATCTATATATTTGATATGATCTACATATTTTAATGATATGATCTATATATTTGATATGATCTATATATTTTAATGATATGATCTATATATTTTAATAGATCAATATATTCTTTTGGAGCACAAAATTTGTGCTGTTGATGACCAATAAGTATAAAATATGGTAACTGGAATTAACTATACACCACAATATACCTGATTATGTAGAGTAGCATAGTCTTCTTATATCTAAAAAACTAATTATGAATAATAAGTATGCTTTACCTTAACCTTTACAGATTTAAGCTGTAATTTTTAGTGTAAGAGATTTGTAATATCATCAGCTTGTTGAGCAATGAATGACTAGCTTTGCAAAATCTGGTTTTCAATGATCAGAAACAACAGCCATTATTTGAATGCATAAATGGAATGATGATCACTATAATAGACTGAAACCCCCATATTACAGAAATATTTACTCCATATTTCACATCTATAGTTTCACAGAATGGCTAAGGATTATTCAAACCATAAAATCTTTGCATAATTCTGTAACACCCCTGCCCATTTTCTTTCTTAGCCAAGGTGTTACGCGTGACTGTCACAACTGTTGTATATTCCAGTAAACCAGAAGAGTGATATTAGTTGATATTTATCTTATACTTGTAAGCTGAATTCTACCACCTAAATGTAATGTTCACATGCTGACTGCTCAAGAACGAAATGAAGGCACTACCTTAAAATAACTTTTGTCACAGTCAGCAACATATCAGCATAGTAAGCTCTATTAACCGTATGAGTTTTGGCATGTTTCAGAGATGTCAGTAAATAAAATATTACATAAAAAAAAAAAAAGGCATGAAGCAATTTTCCCAAAGATCACTTAGGAGGTAAAGGGGGGTGACCCTGTGGCTGTGATGGAAGCAAGAACCTCCCCCAAGAGGAATCACTCCAACTTGTATCTGGTAAAAAGGTCCCCAATGCCCAGCTCAGACCCACTGCCCCAGTTACAGGGGCAGTTACAGGGTGCTCTCACCTCTTTTCACCCCAATTTTTTCACCCCAATTACAGGGTGCTCTCACCTCTTCTGGGGATTATATGTCCAAAGGACCCTCCTGGAGAAAACACCTAGTAAATAACATCCTTCCATGCATCAGAGAAGGGAGATAAATCTGTAATGAACGAATGAGCAGGAACTTTGAAAGCAACCAAATAAAGACCCGGTAGCTTCTGGTCGTGTCCTAACTGCCCCTCCTCCTTGCCCCCAAGGAAGCAGCTTCTGCCGTCTGGGGAGCACCCCTGCCCTGGAAGGTGAGCTGGTGCTGCCGGCAGAGGAAGCAGCTCTCCTCCACGATGCCTGGGCAGAGGGCAGCCTTGAAACATGGCTGACTCATGCCTGTCACACGCAGGGTTTCTAAGAAACCTCTAGACACTTTACTAAAACCCTCCTGAGACAGTCATATTCTCTCATGTCACAAATGGAAAAAAAATGGGGCTTGGCAGAGGATAAGAAAAGCTAATTAAATGCCTACTAAGGATCAGGCATTGTGCTGATTGTTTTACATATATGATCTTATTTAGTCCTCACTCTAGATGGGAGGGCAGTGGGGCAGTGGAGGGGCGGGGAGGCTCGAATTTCCGGAGGCTATTTCAGTTTTCTTTTCCGTTTTGTGCAATTTCACTTATGATAATCAGCCAAAGCTTGACTACTATTTTGGAAACTCCCCCTGGGGGGAGGGGGGGGCCCTCTGTCCTCGGGGCCAGCCTCGCCTATAAAGGGCCAGCCTGCGCTGCAGAGGATCCCTGCAGACCTGAATTCTGACCCTGAGACAGCACGTGGATCTCCTTTGCCCACAGGCACCATGAAGGTCTCAGCCGCTGCCCTCGCTGTCATCCTCACTGCTGCTGCCCTCTGCGCTCCTACATCCGCCTCCCCATGTAAGTCCAGGTCCTGACCCCACAGCCATGGGTCAGACCCTCTGCCTAGAAGGCCCACTCCATCCCAGTGACTGGCCCACACCTTGCCCTCTTTTTTTGTTTGTTTGTTTGGTTTTTTCTTTTTGAGACAGGAAAAAACAAACAAACAAAAAAAAAAACCTCACTTTGTTGCCCAGGCTAGAGTGCCATGGTATCAACCTAACTCACAGCAACCTCAAACTTCTGGGCTCAAGCAATCCTCCTGCTTCAGCCTCCCGAGTAGCTGGGACTACAGGCATGCACCACCATGCCCGGCTAATTTTTTCTATACACTTTTAATTGGCCAATTAATTTCTTTCTATTTTTAGTAGAGACGGGGTCTTGCTCTTGCTCAGGCTGGTTTCGAACTCCTGACCTTGAGCAATCCTCCTGCCTCAGCCTCCCACAGTGCTAAACAGGAGTGAGCCACCATGCCCAGCCGCCCTCTTTTTGACTGTAGCATGTATACTGTGTGGACCCCATTATTTACATTCATATGCATTGTTTACACAGATGTCCTGTTGTTCCTGATAGATCTCCAAGCTGCTTTATGGCAGGGACCCCCTGATCAGCTTTTCTGTGTCTGCAGGTCTACACCCTCCAGCCCCACAGGTGCTCACTGAGTGTGGCCTGATGCTGGGGATATTAGTCGTCATGGGTAGCTTAAACTGACCTTGAAATATGACTGACTCATGCCTGTCACACGCAGAGTTTCTAAGAAACTTCTAAACACTTAACAAAAAACCCTCCTGAGACAGTCATATTCTCTCACTTAACAAGTGGAAAAAAATGAGACTTGTCAGAGGATAAGGAAAGCTAATTAAATACCTACTAAGGATCAGGCATTGTGCTGATTGTTTTGCATATATCATCTTATTTAGTACTCACACCTGTTCTTTGAGTAGCTGTCCTTGGCTTCCAGGTGGGAAAACTGAGGTCCAGAGAGGTTAAGTACCTTGCCCAAGGGAACACAGCTAGGAAATGGGGAAATTGGTGTTCAAGCCCAGCTCTATTTGGCTGGGAAGTGGATTAGATGAGAGCTTGGGGAGACCTTCTCAGTCCTCTGATGGAATCCCCCACTCCACCACTGTGTATCTATGGTCAAGTGACTTTGCCTCTCTGAGCTTCAGTTTCTGCTAAGGAAGATAATAGTCCTTTCAAAATAAATCATATAAAGTGCCCAGCACAATGACCAGTGCATAATAGCAATGAATAAAAGGGTCTCCTTTCTTCTTTCCTTCTCCTAGATGCCTCGGACACCACACCCTGCTGCTTTGCCTACATCTCCCGCCCACTGCCCCGCACCCACGTCATGGAGTATTTCTACACCAGTGGCAAGTGCTCCAATCCAGCAGTCGTGTGAGTCCCAGCCCCATGGAGCCCTCCAGCGGGGTGTGAAAGGGATGCCTCTTGCTTCCAGGGCCAGTCTTCCCAGGAGCCCTCTGAGAGGGTGCCTTACCCACTCCCACTCATCATCCAGCTGCTCAAATAGATGTGGCTCCTCCGCCTCTAGCCTCAGAGTCCCCAGCTATAATGTAAAAGGACTAGACAAGGTGTTGTTGGAGTATCTTGCCCACTCTAATGGACTAGCTTCCTAGGACTTCGATCTTTACTGTTATGGCTTTTATTTGAATGTGATCTGGAATGCCCCTGCATGGAGAAAATCAACTCAGTCATCC